CGCTTCGTGCGGGTTATGGAAAAGACAGCTGAATAAATGGGTAATATATAATGCCGTGTGTGGTGTGATATATAACTGTTTTAAAAGTTTCACACCGCTACAGCTAGGGAAGTGCTGATTGAAACGCCATATTTCACGCATTTGTTTACAGCATGGGTGAAAGTAAATGTAGTTTGCAACCGTACGAAGGTATATTTCACGGCTTATCAACAAATGATTTCTTTCGTAATTTGTAATGTATGGGATAATTAATTTGGGAAGAATTGTATAGTGGATGGATACGCAACACGTGATAATAGGGAAAGTTCTGTAATATATTTTTAAGGGAAATGGCAAGTCCTAGCGATATAATTCATCCATGCAATCGCTGAACGCTATTTCTATCTAGTAGATTTCGATGTACTTGGTTTTTGTAATATTATATATTTTTGCTATGATATATAAAATACATGTATATATATATATAATGCTGATATATATCGATTGCTTTTATATATGTCGATAATATAGGTATGTTATTTAGTTTATCAGTCATATTTAGGTATATGGTAAATATTTCTTATATTTTTCATTGCCTTGTAATATGTTATTTGGCATATTTCTCGGATGAAAATGTTTAATGAAACATAATGGCCATGTATTTATTAAAATCCTGATCCGGTTACGGTTTTAATGCCCCACAACTGGTATTAGTCCGTGTGCTTCGTTCGTCAGCGGGCTTAGTATATCACGTGAGAGAGTCGCTGCAGGAGGTAAACGGGTTAACTGTGGTGTGTTATTTCACTTGTTTGTAACGGTTTACTTCTCTCCATATTTGCTTGCGTAGGGTTCTATCTAGCTGCAATCATTATCAGGCTAGGCTTGTGTTAAAGTGTTTTACTTCATGTATGGACGGTTATAATACATTGAGCACTGGAATACTATGGCTAATCCCGGGTGCTGATGACGTTAAGCTATGGTATGTTCTTAATGTTCCTGGAGTTTCCGAGGCATACAATATGCGCTGGACAGACTCTGGGACTTGTGTACTTTGTGGCTTATGCCCATAAATCAGGCTAAGGTTTCCGTTCCTCGTATGGCAGCAAATTTTTCACGTTTCAAGTGCATACTGGGGTTGGTTAAACTCCCCTTGTCTCCAACCACGTAGACCTACGCGTCGTGCATTCATCGTCTTTGCATTCTGGTGACAGCTGGAAGAAGGCCGCAAGTAGAGGTTCTCCGCTTTATCCGCACCCATCTGGATTGGTGCGTGCAGGCTTGCCCGCCCTGCCTTGTTCGGTACAAAATGGAGCTGGAGAGGGTTATGAGAGTAGGTACGCAATTGGTCGAGGTGTTACGGGGGGCATTCGTACCCCGAGCGTCTACCTAGCTTGTGTGTGTATTCAATGCACTGACGACGGGTTCGAGGAGACGTAATGGTTACTTGCAGCATTTTGATAGGTAAGGTTGGACCGGACTTGACCTGGCTATTTAGCCCGGCTAGGTTGCCTTGTCTTCCCGGTTATCCCTTCCCTTGATCTTCTCTTCTCCTGACCATATCCATCTTCAAACTGTTAGTTCTTATTCGGTCATTCTCTTCACTCTTCGGTGTTATCCTTCATTTTAGTGACTTTCATTCCCCTTGATGTAACATTTACCCCATACGGCCTGACTACTTAACGTAACTTACACTGCCGGGACTGCTAGTGCAGGGAAAGTGGGCAGTAACGGGTTGATCATGATGTTTCAGGAGTTTCCTTTAAGATCTACCAAGACCTACCACTTTCTCATATCCTGCCTCAACGATGTGCATAAGAAGGAACACTCACGGGAGATTGCTATCATTCCAGTGCAACTGATTCTAAATCTGAACACCCCTAGGCCTCCCTGGGCAAACGGTTAATGCCCACGTTTGGTGCCCTATAAGTGCGTGCACGGGAAAATAAGTGCGCATTACAGAAGGAAAATGATATCAATGCTCCTGAAGAGGTAGAGAATAGGAGGTTGAGGTACGAAGATCTGAGTTACTCAGGGAACTGGAACAATTTTGTGCTGCCACGCGAAAGCTGCAAGTCACCCATGGAACCCCTGAACGCCGGAATCCCTGTTAACACTGTGCAGAAGCATGTCGATGTTCGGTTAGTGCACCTTCAAAGAGGGACCGTGTACAGTGGGAAATGATACCGGGCGTATGTACCTCAGGTACATAATCACCAAGCCTCGCAGTGAGGACGCACGCTGTTCATTTGCGGCTCGCCTGTTGTTGACGTCCTTCACAGCCTCCCTAACCTGCAGCCTATGGTCTACCGGAAGTTGCTGATGAACGCCAATGTGTTATCTAACGCCGCTAACAAACGTGATGCCACGTATTGCTGATGGGAGAACGGAGTGCCTGAAATGGAGATAATGTCGGACCGTAAAACAGGTGTTCCCTTAAATCAACCATAGATAGAAGCGGCAGGCAAGGTAAAGGAAAGGATAAGGTGTTCAGTCCCATGCGAAATGGTCACGCACGTATGGGTGAGGTAATTCATACTCATCCCCACGCGGCGGATCACTAAGCAACTGGGAGGTGATGTGATAAGAGAAATGCAGTTTGAGCGCTAGGAATACTTGTACCATGTATGATACATCAGGCGTGCTTCTTACCTTGTCAACGCAGGTTACTCCGGTGCCTTGCAAAGCGCAATCGGTAATCCGGTTGCTTGGAAGATGGCGCTGTCATGAAGGGACGGATAAGTAAATGTGCATCCTAAAAAGGCAGCGGAATTGTGGGTGCTTCTGATGTCCGTAGGCACACCTGACCACCCCCAGTATGTGTGATCCCGTGACGTAAACGTCATGTAGGGGAGGCACCGCATATGGGAGCAGTGGGTGTACCTAACGATCAAGCGGAAGCAATGGATAGCACGGTTATGAATGAAAGAAAAAGGTAGCAATATGAAAAAGAAGGACTTACATACAACGATGGCAAGTGAAGTGTTCCTGTCCACTGTACGAGACGCATACCTGATGATACCAAAGGCGGCAATCGCAGCACATGACCCAGTCAACCACCTGTCCACTCTGTGCCTCGCAGTCAGTTTGTAGGCACGAAGCGCACTTGTCATTGTCGTAGTTGGCTGGGATTGGTGCATGGCTGCGACGCTTCCTTGGAGGCCTATACACCTTAGACCAGGTCCGTACTAAGTACCTGTGTGTGCGTTCCTGTCTTTAATGGCTGTCAAATACCTGAGGAACAACCGGGAGCTCTTTGCGTACACTAAGTTCCGTACCCACTGCTTAATAAGCAGCCTGTCGGTTGCACTTTTCCAGGATAACCCGTTGCAACGACGGGTGACATCCTTCAGCAAGTGAAAAAGGCACAATACCATCCGAGTACAGGGGTACACTGTTTGGAATGCATGCACTTGGGCCATGCACTTATCAGTTACTACCGCCCGCGCTGTCTCGGTCGCTGGTAACATCAGACGCATGTTACGCACCGCGTTCAGGTACGATGCCGTCGTCTCATTAGGAAGCAGCGCGTAGAAAACTGAACGCCCAATACCATGCACATCGACTAACATGCAGTGCCACAGTATGAAGCCACCGCAGTTCATTTGGTGCGTCGCGTCGGCCAGCAATACTTCACTATAAAGCTCCACCAGGTCACGTAAGTACCTGGGAACGAAAAATATGTAACGTATCTCCGACTCCTCATACTCCACATTACATTGGCCAACGCTCTCAAGCAAATGTATTCACAGCTTCCACGGAGTTCTCGTCAACCTTTCCCTTCATCTTTTCTCTTATGGTCCGGAGGTTATAACGGTTCAACCTTCAATCGTAGTGCTTCAACGCATACCTCCGGAGCTCGCATGTGTCCTTGAATGACTGCATCATACGGTAGACGTCCTCTTCGGCGTGCTGCGGAAGCCGTCTTTTTTTGACGTACAAGAACGGCTTTCCTACGTGAAAATTAGGGCTGTGCTCAACGCTGTAGGATACTATGTCATGGCCCCACCCATTTTGCCGTACGGCTAAATGCGCCTTGCAGTCGTAACTCTTGTACCTAAAATTAATAACCGTCTGAAAAACATTACATGTAAACTTACCGCTTGCAGGTGTATCCCCTTCGGCAACAATGCAGGCATCTATATTTCAAGGATTTGTACCGCACACCCTCAGGCAACTCTTTCCCGGTTTTCCCCCTATACCTTACGGATGTCAGGACATCTGATTTGAAAAAGCATGATGCAGTACGCAGTTGAAAGCGCTTTAGGTCACTTTCAAACTTCTCAAAAGTGCGGTACACACGATTATGGAAGACAGCATGGAAAGTAGCGGTATCGTCCACAGCCGAGAGCGTCCTATCCGCCACTTGGAAATAACGCTCCTTCGGCAGTGTTATTCCGGTACACAGGGTTGCAGGTGATGTGAGGTAGATTTGGGGACATTGAACCCATAGTGTTGTTTATTAATAATTGAGGATGCTTGCTGAATTCCTACGACCTCAATTAGTAATCAATTTACTAAGGGGTTTAAATGCGTTACGATGGTTAATCATTTTCCCGCCTCACGCGTAGCAGCCATGGTGGATGACTCGCTTGTATTCCGACGTATGCTTAAGGGTCCTTATCTGGACTTCGCATCGGTGAAGAAGGATCTGAAAGTGTTTCAGATTGAAACGGCGACATCGTTTGTTCGTCGGAACGTTCAAACTGCGAAGGCGTACGAAAGGGAGACTGGACAGGTGCTACCGGAAGGATGCCCATACCGGTATATTTTGTTTGTATGTGTGCATGGGAGGCGCAGCAATGTTACTGGAAAGCGGTAAGTGCATTGCAATTGCCTCATGATAAGATTACTATAGGTACCGATGTTACGATTGCCCTGCGCGTTTTTCTGTGACGTATAAGGGCGAATGTTACGAAATTGGGAATGCGTATCTGTGGCATTCGCACAGCTTTCACGTTGGGAAGCCTTGGCTGTATGCGAGAAATCGGAGGCTAACAGAAGATCAGGAGAGGCTGGTGCTTAACTTAATGAGAACGTTTCGTCGGACCCAGGAGATGCGTGCCTTTGTGCGGCAGCAATATGACATTCGTTTAACAAGGAGGGATTTGTATGTCATACGGCGGCGTCATCGTAATGCCTGTGTCACTGAGGTGGAGGAGGTGACTCAGCTGTTGCAAAGAAATGGTCAGGTGAAAATTATGCATGAGGGGAATCAGATTCGTTACCTGTTTTTCGTACCTTCGCGCATGCTTGATTTGGTGGGCCAATACGGCGAGGTAATTTTGGCGGACTCCACGTATCAGATCAATTACGGAGGCTACATCCTGTGGCATTGCATGTTTGTGGATGTTAGCGGCCTCGGTATGAGTTTCTTTTATGCCCTGTTGCCTAATGAGACGGAGGTTGCTTACGAGGAGGCAGTGAGAGGTATGTTGGATTTGGCCCCCGCGGTTGCCGGTGCTCGGACTTTGGTGATGGACAAGTGCACCGCGCAAGTGAATGCGTTTCGTAATGCGTACCCCAATGCGAACATTGTTTTCTGCCGGGTACACATTATGCGTGACATGCGGCGGCGTTGCTCACACCTTCCGTTGTGTAACGCGGAAGATAAGAGAGCTCTATTCAACATGCTGCGGTCGTTGTTGTACACGTACGACTGCGCGCATTACCATCGGATTATGGAAGCGATATCCCTGCGGAGCGCAGAATGCTTCCAATACCTCCGTCGTACATGGATCCCATGGCGGCTTAGCTGGGCGGCGCATTTGATGGGCCATGTAGTTTTATTTGGATGCGACAGCACGAATCGCATTGAAAATGAGAATAAGCATCTGAAACAAACTTTGAGTGAGCGGTCAACGCTACTTCACCTGTTTCAGGTGATAGTGCAGCGTGCCAGTAGCATGATTGAGGAGAGGGAAACACTGCTTGCCAGAGATCAACTTGGTGTATGCGAGGTTCAGCACGGTGTCAGCATTGGGGACGTGATTTTGCGCAGGCTCTCGTCCTACGCCCGGCGGCAGTACGCGCGGCACAGTGTTCGCGTTCGTATTCGCAGCGTAAACCAAGGCGGTGGTTGTTGGCTGGTGGACGACGAGCGCATTGGGATGCAACGTGTCGTTATCGGAAATGGCAGCGCTTGCGGATGCAGATTTAATCGGCAGTGGCGCATTCCATGTGCGCACATTATTCACGTGGCAAGCCTGCACGCGTACCAGGAGGAGGATGTGCTTGGTGGTTGCCGTTGGGTATTGCCAGCGATAAGTACATCTGCGCCGGTGCTTTCGGAGGATAGGGAAGGGACGTTGACGGTGGCGCCGGTGAGATGCCCGAGTGATGTAGTTCTTGACCGGGCGGCGAAAATTCGCATCACTCGGGATATGTTTGCTGCTCTGGAAACGCAGATCCTGAGCATGGGCACCGAGGAGTTTCAGCGCACCATGGGCGTGTTTGCATGCGTGCGGGAGCTGCTCGCAAGTCACAGTGATGTGCAGCTTTACGCGCGATCATCGCAGTTGGAACAACTGCAACGGTTATCCTCGGAAAACCTGCCTACCTTCCAAGGAATGCAGCCGTCATCCTCCGGTGCAGCTACCCACGTGACGGCAGGCAATGGTACGCGTACCAGCAGGAATTCACCGGAGAGGGACGTCAGCGAAGGGATCACATTGGTGTCCCCGGTGGCTGGTGTTTCCCAGTCTCCTTGCAACGACCGCAGGCGTCGCAGACGGAAGTCGCCTTTGTTAACGCGTGCGGTGGAGGTGGTGGAAGGCAGCATGACATCACGGGAGTTGACATTTCTGACCCTTAAAAGAAGGACATCAGCGCGCCACCGCACATACACATGGCGTACAAAGAGAGGCACTGCTGCCAAAGAAGCGGACAGCGCGGTTTGCGCTTTGTGTGAGGAGGAAGAGGACGCGTGCGGGAGCTCGGAGATTGTCGATTGGATAAGTTGCGATGTTTGCTTCAGGTGGTTTCATCAAACCTGCGCTGCATACCATGGGGAGGCGGCATACACATGTGCGCGTTGTTGCGGGTAAGTTCCGTTTCACGTATTTAAGGTTGCTTTTCTTTAGGGATACACAGGAACAATATGTGAATACTGCATAAAGAACCTCTGGAAATGGAAAACCCTTCCAATCGGTAAGTTCCCACGGCACTGCCTTTCTTCCCCAACTGCATATGTCCTTGACTATTTTGTGACCAGTGCAACGGGGGACATGGGTGTTAATCATGGTAGCTTGTGTCTTCCAATTACAACGCTGCGCGCTGTGATTGTAAGACACGGATGGGTTCTTATTTAGCTGAGTTTACTGTGGTGTAAACGCAAGTCCTTAAACTGCTGCAAGAACTGAACCGTTCCAAAGCAGCTGGGCCTGATTCCATTCACCCGAAGCTTCTGCATGAGCTGGCGGTGTAACTGACTGGACCGCTGACGATGGTGTTTCCGAATTCACTTGACAGCTGTACATTACCTTCCGAATGGAAGGAGGCTGTCATCTGTCCTATCTTCAAAAATGGCGACATGAGGCTGTCAGCCAATTATAGGCCAGTTAGTCTGACCAGCGTCGTGGTCAAACTGCTTGGAAAGCTGGTAAGAGATTCGTTGGAATGTCACCTCAATAGATTTCATGTACTCAGTAGTGCACAACATGGATTCCGGAAAGGGTTTTCGTGATTGACGATTATGTTGGTTACTGGTGAAGCCCCATGTGATGTTGCATTGACACGCAGTTACAGGTAACATAGATTTTCTATGCTCACCTCTATTTCAGAGCCACTGATATCCGCAGCCCACTGCCTTGTTTCCTCTCACTGCCACAGAGCCTCCTCCCAAGTCCTGCCGCCGCCATGTGATGTTGCATTGATACCTAGTTACAGGTAACAAAAATTTTCGACGCTCACCTCTATTTCAGAGCCACTGAAATCTGCAGCCCACCGCCTTGTTTCCTCTCTCTACCAAAGAGCCTCCTCCTAAGTCCTGCCGCCGCCATGTGATGTTGCATTGATACGTAGTTACAGCTAACATAGATTTTCTATGCCAACCTCTATTTCGCGGGTTTCACGGGTTTCACGGGTTTGCGCAGAACGAGTAAGCGTAGCTTTTCGGTGGTTCTGCCTCGGGATCTTACGGCAAGGTTCTGATCTCCTCGGTAGGTACCAGATGTTGTGGGTCTCTACACAGTAGTGGTGTTCAGCACAAGAATTCAGCGGGTTGACTGTGGGAACGTGGATACCTGGAACAAGAGAGTGGTGTAGGTAAATTCAGCAAAGTTGGATAGAAGCAAATTGATAGAAGCGCCGCGTGTTAACTTGGCGAATGGCCAGGTCTTAGCAACGTGGAAGACCAGCGAGGTAAGAGCCAAGCGTCTAGGCGCTGTTTGAAGGCCTCCGTATTGGGCGCTGAGACAACAAATTCAGGGAGGGCGTTCTAAGCGAAAGCAATACGCACACTGAAACTGTTTCTTCGGCACAGAAGGCGACTGCTACGAGTCATCAGTTTGAGTGAGTGCCTTCGAAGATGATCTGTACGGCCGCGGACCAGCAATCCTGCGTTCGGGTGCCTGTTATTAGTCAGGACGGAATAAGCTAAGGTCGCCACGAAGGCTGCGATATTTCAACGGGAAGAGGTTAAGGGCCGCCAGACGCTCCTCATACGAGAAGTGGGATAGTCCGTCCACTCTCTTAGTGGCTCTGCGCTGTACAGTTTCCAGCATGGCCTCGTCCTTCTTCAGGTATGGCGGCTGGACAGTATGTTGTACTTAGCAGCGGACGTACTAAAGTGCTATAGAGAGGGGCAAATATCTCTCTAGAGAAAGACCCTAGTGCACGTCCAAGGAGAACCAGGCGAACGCTAGCCTTTCGCGCCAGTGTAGCTACATTAGCGCTCGGGCTCAGGTCGGCGGATATTATGGTCCCCAGGTCTCGTTCCTGGGATGTGGCTTTAAGATGCACACCGCCGATATTGTACGGATTAGCCACACCTTGCCCAATGTGCATGACTTTGCACTTGTCGATGTTAAACGGGAGTGAATTTTTCGAGGCCCAAGAATAAGCAGCATCGATATCTGTCTGGAGAAGTGCCTGATCACTTGGCCTGCGGATAGGTCGCCATATCTTAGCGTCGTCCGCATAAAGCAGTATGTCGCTGCTGATACAGGATGGGAGGTCGTTGATGAACAAATTGAACAGCAGGGGCCCGAGGACGGATCCCTGGGGCACCCCGGTCTTTGCAGCCACAGCGCTGGAGAGTGCGCCGTTTACACGAACTCGGTAGGTGCGGCCAGACAGGTAGGTACTTAGCCAGCAGATTGTTTGCTGGTCGATCCCCAAACTCGGCAGTTTACTCAACAGCAGAGCGTGATTGACCCGGTCGAATGCTTTTGAGAAATCCACGTAAACCACGTCAGTTGGAGTATGATTGTCTGCCTCTGCAGTCCAGGAATCAAGGGCTGCGAGAAGATTCGTGGTGCGCGAGTGAGCCCTGCGGAACCCGTGCTGTTCCGGGGCTATAAGGGACAGACTTTCTAAATGGCAGCGCAAGAACTCGTCTATGATACTCTCCATTACTTTGGAGGCAGTGGGAGGCAGTGCTATCGGGCGATACTTAGAGGGGTTTGTCCTGTCACCACCCTTGTATATCGGCGTTATGACCCCTTGTTTCCAAGCATTCGGGTATTCGGCACTGGTGTAGGAGCGGCTGTACAGTAAGGCAAGCGGCTCGGCCAGTACCGTAGCGCACTCACGTAGAAAAATGGGAGGGATCCCATCCAAACCCGGCGATTTGCCTGTCCTTAATTTTTTAAATTTCTCCAGGGCTTTCTCTGATGTAAACTGCACGGGATGTCTGGCAGCCGTGGGAGTAAAATTAGCGCCTTCCATTGTACTGCGGGCAAAGGTGCCGAAAACGGACTCGTACTGAGTCTTCAGCAATTCCGCAGCTTCTTTGTCCGACGTTGTGGTATTGCCTACGGTTCTGAGCAGGCTGCCAACGGCAGCGCGCGATTTAGTGAGAGACGCTATATGCTTAAAAAGCCTTTGGGGTTATCGGCGAAGCTTTTAGCGAGAGAGAGCTGGTACGCTTTTCTGTCCTGGCGAACAGCTGCTATACAGGAATTTCGCACTCTACAGTATTGTGCTCGCGAATCAGAGTCGCCAAAAAGTAAGAATCTGTCCCAGAGGGCCTTCTTCTCCCTGATCAACCTATGCGTTGCAGGCTGAAGTTGCCTGTGGCGTTTCAGCGCATAAGCGCGCACTGTGGTGACGCGTGCCTTAATTGCGTCGTGGATGTGAGCGGCGATGTAGTTCCAATGGTCGTCGACTGTGGGGGTTTGTGCTGCCAGGGACCAGTCGACTCCTGAGAGGAAATCTTTGATCGCGTCATAGTCCGCTCGACGAAAGTTAAGCCTGATATGCAGTGCTTTAGCGTTGAGCGTGACGTTCGCTACCACACGAAAACTGATAACTGCATGATCACTTGCACCAAACTGGGGCGCTCAAATTAACGTTGTCAATTAGATGTGGCTCGTTGGTGTGCAGCAAGTTGAGTTTCGACGGGTTTTGACCGTCTCGCCACCGAGTGTACTGCTGTACGTGTTCGGTTAGACAATGTTCTAGAACACTGGCAAGAAATTCAAGGCTGTGCTGACTGCGAGCTTGGCCAGAGGTAAAGTCTATCTCCGGGAAATTAAAGTCACCTGCGACAAGTAGGGGGGCACCCAAATCTAAGTAGCTGCTCGGAGGGCGGCATTCCAGCACCGCAGCCATTCTGGCGCAGCTGAGGGAGGGCGATAACCCCACTCCAAGGGTGAGACTGGTGGAACCAGAGCCGCGGACGCGAATCCAGAGGGATTCGGGAAGAGATAGTAGTTCCGAAGATTTGAGAGGGACGCATGTGAGGCGGTCTGATACATACACAGCTACGCCTCCGCCGTTGCCGCTTTCACGATCGTTTCGAAAGAGCACGTATCCCGGGATAGCAACCTCGGCGTCCACAAAGTCTGGGCAGAACCAGGTTTCGGTTATACATATAACTTTAGCTTGCGTGTCCAGCGCAAGGGAAGAGATTTCGGACAACTTGTTCCGTGGCGATAAAGCGTTGCTGTACAAGCAGTTCCACGTGCTAACATGAACTGCTGGCGGGCAGTGGCTTGAAGGCACAGATGGTAGGGCAGTTCCAGTGTGGTTTGCGCCGACCCCACAGGGGCCGGCGACTACTCATTTTTTGGTATATCTACAAGTCGCGTAATAGGTAGTGATAGCGTGGCTCCGCTCGGCAGAGCCACTGATATCTGCCTCCCACCGCCTTGTTTCCTCTCACTGCCACAGAGCCTCCTCCCAAGTCCTGCCGCCGCCATGTGATGTTGCATTGATACGTAGTTACAGGTAACATAGATTTTCTATGCTAACCTCTATTTCAGAGCCACTGATATCTGCCGCCCACCGCCTTGTTTCCTCTCACTGCCACAGAGCCTCCTCCCAAGTCCTGCCGCCGCCATGTGCTGTTGCATTGACACGCAGTTACAGGTAACATCGATTTTATATACTCACCTCCGTTTCAGAGCCAATGATACGCACCGCCCACTGCGTTCTTACCTAGCGCTGCCACACAGCCTGCTTCCAAGTCGTGCCGCCGCCATGCGGTGTTGCATTGATACGTAGCTTTAGGTAACATTGATTTTCCATCATCACCTTGTCTTCAGAGCGCCTGCTTTGTGCCGCCCATTGACCTCCAACCTCACGCTGCCACAGAGCCTCCTCCCAAGTACCGCTGGCGCGGTGTGACAACACCATAAATCGCCGCCGCAGGTTACATTCCTTGTCCATCCTCATTTATCTTTCAGATTTCATGTTACGTACGTGCATTCGACGTATCCTATCATAGCACCTTGTCCGGTCTTCCTTCGCCTTCCAGTTACCACACTATTACCATTCCTTGGAGAACGGAGCAACGGCCCTTTTCAGGGCCACCCCCTGCATCTGTGTCTTGTCGTCCCACAGCCCATAGGAAGTATGCGAACTACCGCTATCTCCTTGCGGCGGACTACAAGCTCACAGGTTCCGTGGGTGGCTCCGTAATCTTCAGATAACGTATGGGGGCATTCATACATCAACACGTGTTCGCAACCCTGCGACGTATGCGA